AGGGACATACCCCTCACCTCATTTGTACTAACATTTGGTTATTTGTTTCAATTTGGACAATATTTAAGTTTTCACTTTTTTCAGATTCCACTTTATGTATCTTACATGCATTTTCTCTATTTGAGTGCTTTATAAATTTTATTATCATAGGTTCATCAATATAAGAAGGAGTAAGTATATATAGAATAGTAAATGATATCTATTAGTAACTTAATTTTCTTCTCATGTTATTTCATCACATTAGTATTTCATGTTGTATATTATTACAAATTAAACATGTTAGGAATTCATCGGTAGTTAACATTAGAGCCTTTACCATTCAATGTTAACAACGTACTTTTCTTTGGCATCAAAAACATCAGGTCCATCTTGTAATTGTGAAATGAAACTGAGATATGGGACAGCTTTCTGAAACATCAGAGAACAATTAGAACACTATATTTTGGTAATATATTGAAAGCCTTATTTGCACTTGTAATTTGCCTGTGAAATAAGCCTTTATGTCAAAATGAAAACCTACTTTTGAAAAGATTCATTTATTATATATTTTTATTTTGTGTGCATGAATGTTTTGCCTGCATGCACATATGTGCACTATGAGAATTTGGTGCATGCAGAGGACGGATCAGATGTGTAAATGCCTCAGAACTGGATTTACAGGCAGTTGTGAGTCAGCATGTGGAGCCTGGGAACCAAACCCAGGTCATTTGCAGCAGCAGCAAGTGTTCTTTACTGATGAGCCATGTCTCTATTCCCCTCAAATCCAAATTTCCTATAGCCAAAAGCATACAATAGAATATCCTCATAGTGAACAAAATGTCATGTAGGGAACCCAAATTGCACATAAGATTGAAATATGTTTAAAAACATCTCTCATGTCTTCATGAGCACAGATTGCAGTGGCTGTGTTTGAATCACACTAACCCTGTTAATGTCCTTCCAGTTTCCAGTCTGACCCAAATAGCTTTTTAATTTAAAGAGTCACTTACCCCTTGTGTTTGTAAGTTCTGGTCTCAAAAATGGAAATAAAGATACCATCCACATCAGACAGGTATGGAAATCAAAGAAGGTGTCAAAATGAAAAGATGGCAGTTACTTTAAAATTGTTACCACTGTTGGCTATTTATACACTTAATTACTAAAAAAATTATACCTGTCATTTCTTATAATATTCGGCATGCAAAAGGAAGAAAGTACAGCCAAAGCAGTAGAAACAATGTTAATGTCTAAGCTGTAATCCACGGAATGGAAAAGATCTAAGATAGAGTATGGACATGAGTTCTTTATCATGGCTCAGTAGAGGATACTATGAACATTAATGTATACTCGCTCTGTATCTGAACTGCCTACATTGGAGAGTCTTCATAACAATGAAGGGAGATGTTTCTCATAATCTGGTTCATGCTATGAGCCACTGTTTGGACCTCAAGAACAGCAAAATCTCCAAATACTTCCTTCATGAAGTAGAAACATCAATGCTCACATTGGTACATTCCTATCCTTCTGACCATCAGTAGACACTTATTCATCCTATAGCTGAGGTGACATAAAATCTCCTGAGACCAGAAATGGCATGTCCAATTCTATTTTGTTCATATCAGTTAATTGATTATAGACTGCCACTCAGCATGTGTTGGTAGTCTGCAAGTGAAAGCTCCCATGATTGTTACTGAATGATGTAAAAATTAAATTTATTTCTGTGGTTATACTTAAAAGTGAGATTACTAGCACCCAGTGGGATTTACCTCTTCCACATTAGCATGTCTATTGATGTCATTATTAAGATTTGTTTAGGCAGCCATGTTAAGACTTCATGGGTGAACTCCCCCAACATTTGTAGGAGATACAGTCTCACATCAGATATATGTTCCTCAGGCTCCTACAAGGTTTCTGCCTCCTCTATCACAATGTTCACTGAACCTTGAGTAAAAGAGTTGTGTTGTGGGTGGCACAACTATGGGTTGGTACAACACAATCAGTTTTCTGCATTTTGATCTATTATACCCTTTCTGTTTTCTGCCATTTGATCGGTTGTGGTATTTTTTTTTTTGTAATGGTCTCCTTTTTCTGCAATGGGAAGTTTCTCTCTTTAGGAGTTAGAGTTACAAACAATGAAGGATTGCTGAGAGTAGGAGAAAATAACCTTCCACAGGGAGGAGTCCACTCATAGGTTATCCAGCACTAAATTGTGAACAGCAAAATTTTGTGCATATAAGTGACATTATACAGAGTGAGCAAATTATATGTGTGTATATAATTATATATATATATATATCTGTATATATATATATATATATATATATATATATATATCACAACAATTAAAATGAAAGAGAACAGAGGAACAGAGGCCATTACTTTGAGGAGTATGTGGGGGGTTCTTAGAAGGGGTTGGAGGGAAGAAAGACAAAATGATGCAATTATATTTTAATTTCAAAAATTGAAGAGATGGAACTAAGGCTTATAAAAATATGTGCCTTCTGTAAAAACAATCTGAACTGTAATTACATAAATTGCTTCTTCTAAGATTAATACTGAATAGAATGTTGGAAAAACAGGAGGTAGTGTGATTATTGGTGCATAGCATTGTTGGCTCTGCTTAAGATGATGTGACCCTTATTCCAAAGTTTGTAGTGACATTCAAAGAGAATACCAGGGCATGAGATTCCTGGTTATCTGCAAGCATACCCAAATTCAGCATTTTCAATGTTTTCTTCCTTCCATTTATATTGAATTTCATTTTGTTTGGTCTTATTTTTATTTTATATATTTTATTAGCTTACAAAATTAGCATGCTTCCTTAACACATTTTTATGCTTAGTGTTTTAATTGATCCAACTCTTCCACTTCTGTCAATTCTCTACCCTCACCTCATGTTATACTGTTCCATGTCCGTTATTCCTTCTTCAATTTCAAAACACATGTATTATTTTATCCTCTGTACCCCATTCTAAGTGGACCCCTTTCAAATCTCCTTGACTCTACCCATATTCACTCCCACATTAACATATACTTCTAAATGAGAAGCTATGAAATTGTGTTGTTTTTCTGGGCCTATATTACATCATTTAATAGAGTAGTTTCTATTTTTGGTTTCAGCCATTCCCTAGGTTGTGCTACAGTGCCAGTTTGCTTGGTGAATGGAAGACTACAAATATCTGGTAGTTAGTAGTTCCTAAGGTCTCCTCTCATCTCCCCACTCTGGTTAACCTACTTCAGTGTTAATTCTACCCCAGTTCTTGATGGACAGGTGACAGTATCTCTATGACTGATGAGTGTGTGGAGCAACAGTGCCTTCTTTGAGGCAGCATAGTTCAGCCTGTTTCTGATTCACAGCTGCTACAGTCTACTTCTGCAAGGGGATCTCATCCAGTTTAAGAATGGTTTGAAGACATCTTCTCTCACAGGAATATAAAAATGTTGTCCTTAGAGTTTCCTGCTGTTGCACTGCACTGATGGGCTATCTAATCCACTGCCTTCTTTCCTACCATTTCCACTCTAGACTTCTGAGTCTACATGATCTGCATGATTATCCCAGACAGAGTTTCAATAGAGACACTGAACATTTTGACAGTAGCTATCATTCATCAGATAGTGACCTTCTACTTGCCATTTCTAATGGCATATTTTACCTGTTTTTAATTCTATTGTGTATTTTTGAGAGAGTTCATTAAACCAGATATACCCCTCTCTAATAATCCTGACATGAGTGTGCACACATACTAGTGTGTCTATGTGGTATGACTTTTTCTTAAGATCTAACTCTTAATATGATGAACGTTGTCACTTGAAATATCATTCTAATACATTTTCTGCTTTTAATAGTTCTTATCTGAAGCTCTTGTGGGATAAAGACCCAATCAGCTCAACCAGCGTCTGTGCTCTGAGTCTGTATTTAGCAGGACTGGTGACAGTTCAAAGAAAAACACTTCTCATAGAGCAGCCTGGAATGCATTTTACACAGATCTTTAAAAGACAAATGATCTTAAAAAAACTAAATCCTGGTTGGAAGTTGACCAGGGGAAGCAAAGCAAGCAAGCAATTTTACAGAATCCCCAAACACACACTTAGCTAGGACACTCCAAACCTTATTGTCTAGAACAGGGTTAAGTATTTTCACATGGGAGTTTTCATGGCGGGTCTACAAAAGGGAGAGTCAATTTCAGGTTAAACCAAAGAGAGCTACAAATGAGAAAAATATAGGAACTTTTACCCTGTCACAAAATTATAGGTATAATTTGAGTCGTAGTACACATTTTCATTACTTATCTTTTGAATTTAAATAATGTATATATTAATAATTACTCTATTTAAGAAAACTGACCATACTCCAGCAAGTATATGAGCAACACAAAATGGACTTTTTACTTTTTTCTTCTTCTTCTTCTTCTTCTTCTTCTTCTTCTTCTTCTTCTTCTTCTTCTTCTTCTTCTTCTTCTCCTTCTTTTCTTTGAGGGAGGTCACAATGGACAGGGGATGGACATGGGAAAACAGAGAAGTGAATGTGATCAGGGTGCATTATGTGAAAATCCAAAATAATCATTAAAATATTATGTTGGAAAAAATAGAATTGCTTAGTTTAAATTTTGTGGTGGTTGTAGAACTTGATTTCTTTTAAAACATGAGTAGCAAATATCAGTATATACTGAAAGTCTTATATTATGTTTGTTTATTTTGCTGTTACTTTTCTTTGTTTCTCAGGGGCCAACATGACATCATCTTGAGTGCTGCATTTTCTAGGAAACTTGATGGCTCTCCTTTCATAAACATGTGCATTCTGAGATATTGAGAAATCCCACAGTAACAACTCCTAACTACTCCTGTGAAACGTTTTTTGTGATCTAGGCTGATTTTATACTCCTAAGTTTAAAGGACCCTCTGTTTCAGCCCCTCTGTAGATCCATGGAATAATAGCATCTTCTCTACCTGAGGCAACAATCATTTGCCATTATTCATTGACTAGGGAAATGGTACAGCTATATATTAAGGAAATTGTGCTGAATCACAGAATGGACTTCGGGAAACTGGTAATCAGAATAATTTTCTTTTCACAAACTAACATTGGAATTCTGGGAAATTTCTCTCTTATTTTCTACTATCTAGTCCTTTACTACAGAGAACATACATTAAAGCCCATAGAGTTAATTCTCATGCACCTAATGGCAGCCAATGCCTTGGTCATTCTCTCTGCAGGAGTGCCCCAAACAATGGCAGTTTGGGGACTGAAGCATTTCTTGAATGATTTTGGATGCAAGCTCTTGTTGTACATTCATGGATTTAGCAGGAGTGTGTCCATTTGCACCATCTGCTTCTTGAGTGTCTTCCAGGCCATGACCATCAGTCTAAGAAAATCATGTTGGAAGGATCATAAAGTTAAAGATGCAAAGTACGTTGGCTCCTTCATTTCCCTCCTCTGGGTCTTTTATATGTTGACAAATTTGATTTTCTTTGTCTATCCATTCATCAAAATGAATAATGAAAATGTGACAAGAAAACGAGATTTTGGATATTGCTACATGGAAGTGTGGGATGAAATCAGTGATTCACTCTATGCAGCACTTGTAATGTGCCCAGAAGTCTTCTTTTCTGGGCTCATTGCCTGGTCAAGTGGTTCCATGATTGTCTTTCTGTACAGACATAAGCAGAAGATTCAACACATCCGCAGCTTTCATATTTCTTATAGAAACTCCCATGAGTCCAGGGCAACCCAGAACATTCTTGTCCTGGTATCTACATTTCTTGCTTTTTACACTCTCTCCACCATCTTGCGAGGCTGCATTGCTCTTTTGTATAATCAAAGTTGGTGGTTGGTGAACATCACTCGCCTCACTTCTCTGTGTTTTCCCTGTTTTGGACCTTTTGTTTTTATAAGTCACTACTCCATTGTGTCCAGATTAAGTTTGGCTCGGGTAAGAAAAAGAAAGATGATCTCCTAATTTTATTGCAACTATGTAAAATCTAAGTGTTACACATTATCCAATTATATACACACAGGTCATCCTAAGAAATCCATAAAGAATGTTATCACCTTATCTTTCTAAGATTATCCAAAATGGGTATGGGAGTTTGGCAGCTGTTTGAATTAGCAGTCTGCATAGGCTGATTATACTGTGTTTTGCCCATTGCACTTCAACTTTAATCTAGCAAAGTTTTTCCTTCAGTCAAAAGATGTGCAAAGAAGCCATTAAACTTGCTTCCAATAGGGTGACTTTCTTGTGGCTTTCCTCCTAGCAGGGAATCTAGGCTGTCTGACTGCTGCACAGAAACCTTGTGGATACTGCTATTCTAACTACAAAGCAAACAGAAACCATCGCTGGCCATAAACTTGTGGCTCAGGTGGTGCTTGTCCCATGACAGCTGCTCTAGCATGCTCCAGGACCAGAAATTATCTTTGTTGATTATTTCCCAAATACTGTTATTTCAGCTGTTCCAGAAAAAAATACTGCTTGGCTGTTCTTGACCTTGTAGCAACAGTCCTCAACAAAGTCTATGGAGTTGTACATCTCCCCTAGTCACATAAGAAAAATTGTCATGGATATTTTTCACCTCATACCAAAGTCAATTCAAAATTAATTATGTTTTTGAGGTAATATTTAATTTTGTTAGATAATATTCTTTTTTTGTTAACTACTATTAAAGACAGATTTTTTTCTCATGCTATATAATTCAAATACAGATTTCTTTTGCTTTATTCCTCCCAGTTCCACCCACCTCCTCTCAATGTAGATCAACTCCCTTCCTGTTTCTCATTAGAAAAGAACAGGCTTCTAGGAGATAACTACAAAACACAACAAGATAAAATATAATAAGATAAAACAAAAGACATAGTATCAAAGTTGGACAATACAAACCAGCAGAAAAACAAAGGGCCCTAAAGAGAAGGTCAAAAATCAGAGACTCGCGTGTTTCCACCTTCAAGAGTCCCACAACAGTCCTGAACTAAAAGTTATTGAATATACACAGGGAGGATATGCAGCAGACCATCAGGCCCTGTGATTGCTACTTAAGTCTGTAAGTTCCTATGAGCTTTGCTCAGTAGAGGGCCTGGTCCTCCCGATGTCTTCTGTTTCCTTTGCCTCTCCCACTCCTTGTCTCCTCTTCTGTGTGGTTGACTGAGCTGTGAGTGGAGAGGTAGAGATATCACATTAAAAAGTGTGTGTTCCAAGGTCTCTCTCTCTCTCTCTCTCTGTGTGTGTAATATCTGGTTGTGGGTCTCAGGATTTGTTCCCAACTTCTATAGAAAGAAGCCTTTCTGATGTTGGTTGAGTAAGGCACTGATCTATGAATATAGCAGAATATCATTAGGAGTCATTTTATTATATTTTATTTTTATAGATCAGTAATGTTTGGTTTTATCTTAGGTTTTATTGATTGGAATGTCTAACTACTAACTTTCATTTCTTTATATCCTAATAGTTGGTAATAATAACATTCAAGGATTAGCAAATTGCATTACTTTGTTAAATGAACTGTAAAAGTACACTATCCTGAACAAGATTAGAAAAATGTATAGCATTTTCTAACAATCTCAATCTCAATATATATAATTTGTATACAATAAACAAAGATCCAATCCAATGTAAAATATTAAAACTAGTAATTGTCAGACTTCCCTTCTGGACCAGAGGTGAGTAGCCGGGTCCAACCCGGACCCCATCCCTGGGCACCAGCCACTCTGGGAAGACCTGCCCAACTTGGCCACAGGCTCTGGCCACCAGGCGGGTCCCCTTTTAGCCCCACCGGGAGGGATCCACTTCTCCAAGCCCCCCGGCAGCCCATGCAATCCCCGTGCCCTGCCCCCACGCCCATCTGCCCAAGACCCCAGCCACTTCCTGAGACTTAGAGACCGGCCCCCAGCTCCCATCCTGCCCCCGACTTCCCTTCTGGACCAGAGAGTTGGACAAGAGAACTCCCTTTTGGACAAGAGAGAGAGACTTCCTGAATCTGTCAGCTCTTTGTGAAACAAGTACACTGATAATACCAAGAAGGAACCACGAGGAGATGGGCAGACGGTCAAGGCAGAAGTACATACAACAAAATGAAGAGCAATACAGCATCACCAGAACCTAGACCCCCTCCAACATCTAGACCTGAACATCAAAAATTGGAAGAAGCAGAAGAAAGTAGCCTTATGAGTAACTTCATGAAGAAGGTAGAGGCTTGTGTAGAGGAAAAGACAAGAAAATTGGGAGAACGCTGTAAACAACTAGAGGAAAGGGCAAACAAA